TGATTCTTCGCAGAGCTGTTAAGCCCAATTTGAAACAAGTGCCTAAAAAGACCAACGGTAGCCTCCAAACCCAGATTCTTGCAGCGCAGGAGGAAGGCAGCCATCAGGTAGAACCTATTGGGGGTCACCTTGCAAGGGAGTACCCCAACCCAGTTGAGATACTCCACAAAGAATGGGTGCAGCGGAAAGCGAAACCCGTGATCCATCGCGTCCAGATGAACCGCGAAGAAGCCAGAGGGGCAGGAGGATGCCAGGCTCCCCGCCTCAAGCCTCATGATATCAACAGTAGGACAAATGAAAGCGCAAAGGAGAAAGACAAAAGCTTTCGCCTTTTATACTTCTCTTCAAAATTGAACGGGAGACTTACACGTGGCGCAATAATCTCTAGCCGCCTAAAAAACTCAAAGGTTTTTTCAAAAAAGGCGTGCAAAAAGGCACAATGATGGCGCCGTACAATCACTTCAAACGCCATCCCTCGCATTAAATGCTGAGAAGCGGCTATTAATTCAAATTGTTGCAAAAGGAATATGTAAAGATTCCTATTTGTACACATCAGCGTTACTACACGCCACAAATTCTCCTAAAGTCCACCAAGCGATAAATGCAACTGCCTCGTCCCGTAGAGTCTAGCCGGGGGAGGGATTGTGCTCCACGGTGATGGTCAACGGCGGCGGTCGGAGATTGTCGGCGGCAGTCACTCACCATGGGGCAATGACACTTACTGATCGAGGGCAGTGGCAGTTACTGAACGGAGGACGACGGCAGCAGTCACTTGCGGGCCGATGGCGGCAGTCACTGGACGGGTCGGCGGCGGCAATCACTAGACGGGCCGGCGGAGGCACTCACTGGACGGGCCGGTGGAGGCACTCACTGGACGGGCCGGCGGTGGTGTCACTATGGCTGGCGACCGGCGATGGTGTCACTATGGTCGGCGGTGGTGTCACCGTGAATGCGTCACTTTGGCTGGTGGTGTGTCACTGTGACCAGCGGTGGTGTCACTATGGCCGGCGGTGGTGTCACTATGACCGGTGGTGGTGTCACTGTGAATGTGGGAATGTCACTACGAAAACGTCACAGAGATGTCACTGCGGAAATTAGGTGCGGGAATGTCACTACGGAAATGTCACTGCATTAGTCACATTTTTGTCTAAATTTAAATGTGGTTGCTTTTTTGGAAGTTAGACTTAGTTTAGTAATATTAAGGGAAAAACCCCAAGTTAGAATCTGATAATTATTTTTTCTATTACACAAAAAACACATATTGTACCAAAAAACTACAAACTTTTATTTTTCAAAAAAAAAATTTAAATGCTACTAAAACTAACTTTTATTATTAAACTTTTTTTTCCAAAAAAACACTTCAAAAATGATTTTTTAAAGCATGTAGGGGACCTCCTCTAGCACCAGGTCCTCTACATGCATAGGGCATCTGCAAGTATCGGGGATATAGTCTCACTCTCTATCTGTCAGATTGGGATTATAGTCCAATTTACATCCTCCAAACGTACCGTCCGATCGGAGTTGGGGGCCCTCAAGAATGGGGTGTCATCTTTTTTGTAAGAATGGGGTGATATCCGAAGATGGTGTCGGGGTTATATCCTGGGAAGGAGTATGAGTTAAGTCGGAGGAATGAATATGGGTAGTCGGTGGATCCAGCTGGGAAGATGGCTGAGAGTTAATGGAAGATGATTTCCAAGAAAAAGGTAAGATCGACGGTGAGGGAGTGGGAGTAGGAGCGGGTATATTAGCCAGCATGGTATATCCCGACTAACATAAACCCGACCCGTGGATGGAGAAAGACAGCGATAACCCTTGTACCCGGGGCATAACTAAGAAAAACACAGTGCATGGAACGTGGTGATAGCTTATTATGGGATGCAGCGATGAAGTTGGGAAAACAGGAGCACCCAAAAACTCGTAGAAAATTATAATCTGGAATTTTATTAAAAAGTTTTTCAAATGGTGTAAGCCCATTGAGAACTGGTGTAGGAAGACGATTGACAATAAATACAGCAGTATACAACGCATCTACCTAGAACTGATCAGGAACAGACGAATCGATCAGTAAGGACCCTAGTTAATTCCAGTAGATGTTTATGTTTTTGTTCAGCTACACCGTTCTGAGCAGGAGTGTCAGGGCATGATTTTCTAAATAAAATTCCAGATTGTAAAAAATGTTGTTGAAAAATCGAGTTATCAAACTCCCCACCACCATCACTTTGAAAAATTTTAATTTTCCAGTCCAAAAGATTTTCAACAAGTTTTTGAAAATTACAAATATGAGTAAATACTTCAGATTTTCTGCGCATAAGATATATCCAAGTATAACGAGAGAAATCGTCAATAAAGGACACATAATATTTAAAACCAAGATTGGATAAAATTGGCGATTGCCAAACATCAGAATGTATAAGTTGCAAAGGTGTAGTAGAATTATGAAAAACATCTGTGAAGGGGAGTCTGTGGGATTTGCCCAACTTACAAGAAACACAATCATGTAAAAAGGAAGAACTAGTAATCAATTTTCGTTGTCTAAGACTACTAAGAATTCTATCACCACAATGCCCCAGACGCTTGTGCCAGACCGGACCAGGAATAACACGGGCTTGGAGGGCATGAAACGGTAGACATGGTCTTTATTGGTTGCTTGCAGAAGAAGCTCCCCCGTTTGAGTGTCCTTAACACAAAAAGAATTTTTATTGAAAATTACTTCACATGCATTGTCCGCACACAATTTTTGTATAGATAATAAATTATATTTAATGTGAGGGACATGATAAACAGAATTAAGATTTAGCGGGCGACCATGTGTGACAAGCTTTAAATTACCAATGTGAGAAATAAACAATTTAGTACCATCGGCAACACATACATGATTCGGACCAATGGAAGGAATTTTTGAAGAGAGAATACCTTCATGAGGAGTCGTATGTCTGGAAGCCCCAGAGTCAGGATACCCCAGAGTCAGAATACCTTCATGAGGAGTCGTATGTCTGGAAGCCCCAGAGCCAGACCGAATCATGAGTCTCACCAGTAGGCAAAGCAGCAAGAGCAGAAGAATTATTGGTAGTAAAACGCTGACACGTAAGACTGTAAGAGCTGAGTGACCTGGAGAAAAGCACAACTGGCAAACAACTGGGGGAGGTGGAGACTGATAAGATTGATCCTCAGATGGAAACCCTGCACTAATAGTATGAGTAGCAGAAATAGGAGAGTAAACAGTATAAGTATTACCAGAAGTGAAATTACAAAATACTGAATCTAGAACCCCAGAAAGTGCAGGTGCACGTGGCTGTGGAGGAGCTGGTGGCTGCTGGTACATTCCATAGGGCTGCTGAAACTGTGGGGCCCCATGTGGTTGCTGCTGATACTAATAATAGCCACGACCTCCCCTTCCTCGACCACCACGTGCTTGCCCCCTCTCTGTCCGTGACCAGCAGGCGGACGTGGACCACCCCGAGGACCCGCAGGCGGACGGTGAGCCTGCTGTGCAGGCTGTGCAGCCGCTGCAAAGGCCTGATGTACCGGGCCAGACTTCTGGGCATCCAGAAGAGCATTGCGACGCTCTTGTGCTTGTAGAAGAGGCGCCAACTAATCCAAAGTAACATCCCCGAAAAATAATTAATGGCCGTTATGAGGGACTCATAACCTCGTCCCAGGACGATAATAGCATACTCAACCAAGTCCGTGTCAGTCACCGGAGGATTAATAGCAGTTAAACCATCTGCTAAAAGTTTAATTTCCAACACATATTGCTCCATAGTCTGTGAGGATTTCTTTTTAATATGAGATAAAAGAATTTTTGAGTTCTATGGAGCGTGAAAAACAAGCAGACATATAACGTTGTTGTAAACGTTCCCAAATAAGATGAGAGTGCTTAAGATCATAAACTGCCATCAATGTATCTCGAGCAAGGGTTGCAAAAAGCCATGAACGCATAGTTTGGTCAATTTTCAACCAATGATGATAATCCGGATTAGGAGAGTCCCTGTGAGTTGAATCCATAACAGTAGGTGGCGGAGTCGGAATGGACCCGTCTAATATCCCTAATAGACTGTGGGATACTAGAAAAGATTCAAACTGAGTCCGCCAAGGTAGATAGTCCTCCACCGCAGACAAACGAGTAATAACAATATTATTAACATTCGGTGTGGAACAAGCAAGTTGAGATGCCAGGGAGGATAAATAACTTTGGGGTTCTGAAAAACTTGGTAATTGAGAATGGTTGACCTGTTGTATAGGAGCAACCCCGTGATGGCTAGAGAAGGTCGGTCCGGAAAAAGGAGCCGAGGAACCACCGATGTTGTGGAGTACCGGAGGAGGTGGCAAAGTCGATGCTGAAGGCATCCAGGTAAATGGATCTGGCATGGTGTATAATCGAAAGGAATCCAACGGAGGTATTGGTCTGAGGCGCTGAGATAGAGACTGGGGAAGCGGCGATCAGATAAAGGCATCAGATGACGATGGACGCTGCATGGGATGTGTGGTACTGCTGGAACTATCCTGCGCATCTGTCTGGTATGGCGGAACACCGGTGAGAGGCATGGTGATCTGCGGCTGCGGCTGCAGTGTATTTGCAGGCGCCGGAGGAGGGCCGGTGACGGCGGCAGGGAATGGTGGAAGGCCGGCCATAGTTATTTGGAGTGTGAGGGAACCCTAACGACTGATACCATATACAAACAATAGACTTTTGGAAATAATGTCGTACCCTATTGGGTGCGTTGAGGTTATATTTATACTAAAATAGAGTTTACGGAAATTACAGAGTAATCCCTATAATTACATTATTAATTCAGACTCTCGCTTTTCTTTTGAAAAACATAAATTGTTGGTGTACACTTTATTTTGTACACTTTTGGCACAGACGCATATAGATATAATTGTCTATATACAAACAATTAATATTGAAATACATAAGTTGTCTATATATAGACAACTCTGTCTGTGTAGACAAACAATGTGTCTGACATTAAAGATGTACACAAAAAAGTACACCAAGCATTTTTTTTTTGAAAAATTCCCTTCCATATCAAGTCTCCTGATTTTACTGGTCTCTGAGGTGGGTGTGAAACATTAGAACATCTTCAATGCTACAATGTGTACGGTGTATATGTGGCATGAGAGAGATAGACACAAAAGATTGAATTTATGACATTTCTCTCTCTTTCTTTCCACAGTTTTATGTGTTTTGGTAAGTTTTTCTCTGCAATGTCAACAATAATCTCTATATCTAGACATTGTGTTTGACATTGTGAAGAAAAACTTACCAAAATGATATAAGATCCTTCAAATCATTCAGATAAGGGGAGAGATATTCAATTTATTATTTTTTAATCGACTATAGTTCATGCCACATATGCACCGCTCACGTTTTAGCATTGAAGATGCTCTACCTCGAGACGGCGTCTTTGATGTCCAAAAGCCCACTGATCGGTTGGGCCATCGTCTTTTTTGCACCCCGTTTTGCATCTGGATTTACTGTGCTTTCTCTGCATTTGTTCTTTGTGGGAAAGAAGAGTACCACCATGTCTTTATTTGCTTTCCATCTGGGAGCACCGCTTCGGAAGATCAGTCCTTTTTTTTTTTTGAAAGGTCGGAAGATCAGTCCTTGTTCTCTCTAAAATTGTTCCGAAACACTTTCTTCCTTTTTTGTTCTACAGTGAATTCAACTGGTTGGGTATGCAAGCCGTCGATCAACTTGTTGCTTGTCTACGTTGAAAAAATATGTCTTTGAATCCCCGTCACAAGATTTGCAACCTTGAGAGTTCCATCTCGGAGCCAGACTAGGTCTGGGACTAGGAATCGTAAAACCGGGAAAAACGGATCGAATCGAACCGAATTATCTGGTTCGGTTCCTACAATTTTGGACTTTTGCTTTTTTTGGTTCGATTCCTGTAGTGTTTAATCGGTTCGGTTCCGATTCGGTTCCAGTTCGGTTCCGGTTCCTATGTAGGAACCGAAGTTCTTATACATTTTCATAAATAATTTTCATTTGAGGTTCTTCTGGGTGGAATTGTTTAATGAAATTTTGTGAGATTATTTTTCATAAAGTATATATTAGGTCTACTAAATTTTAGCTTAAAATTCAATCGGAGATCTAGTTAAATAAATTATTGAAAAACATTATGCCAATATATATATAACAACACAATGTTTTCAATAACTTATTTAACCCACTTCCCGAATGAAGTTTAAGCCGAAATTTGGTGGATAAATTATACACTTCATGCAGAACATCCTTATAAAATTTTATCGAAAAATTCTACCCGAAAGCACCTCAAATGGAGGTAGGCAGACGACGTTCTTGTCAGAAAATTCTTGGCAGGAATATTTCTCTTGCATATTATACCTTATATATTGTGGACCAGGCTTATCCGAGTAGTTGTTATTTTACTAATTTAGTCCACTTTTATATTTATTGTATGATTGTAATTATATTAGTTATTTGAGTTCATCTAAAACTTAATTAATGTTGCTGCTGATTACGTTGTTATTTATTATAGTAAATTGTTAATATTACCGGTCAGTTTATTACTATGTACTTTTTACTTAATGGTGCAATACTAATATAAGAATATCATTTTGGATTTGAATTACCTACTATTGGATGTGTACCTTGGAACAATTAATCCTTTATACTAAGCAGTTAATGCCTATATTAAACTTTTTATGTTTTTGTTATTTTTAATTTAATGTTTGCACTTAGATATTTTTGTGATAGTTGAACATTAGAATATCATGTATGTATAATGTAATGGTCATAATGTGGCAATTATTCTCATGATTTGAATATTTTTATGTAATTGAAGGTAAGATGTGTTCATTTTAGGAGGAGGATAATTTTTTATAAGGAACCAAAAAATGTAAAAACTGAACCGCATTTAACTAGAACCGAACCGAGTTTAACAACTATATTTTTTACAAGAACCGAACTGAATCTAACGCCTACAATTTTTAATACGGTTCCATCGAATTTTAACCAGAACCGAACAGGTCCTAGACCTAAGCGAAACCATTCGCCTTTCTTCAAGAATTCCATTGTCTGGCTCGAAATCCATCCAAATAGGCGACAAGATTCACCGGTTGAAAAAGGGTGATGGATCACCGGACTGGGGGTAGTCGGAATCCAAGTAAAATGAGAGAGAGAACTGATCGAAAAGTACAGGTGTATAATCCGGCAGAGTGTTAGTACCCAATTTTGATAGATTTTGATGATGCCACTATACTTAACACGTGTACGTTGTGTCTCAGTTTTATTCTTGTATTAACACTAAAAAATGTGACAAAAATAAATGTACATTTTTTGAGACTAATGAAATACTACCGGAAAAATAAAAATGCAAGAAGGTAATTTTTTATTTACCTTAATAGGATACTTTGATCCTATCGGTATACATTATTCAGTCCAAAGATTAATTAAATGTCACATTTTTATAACATACATTGAATACGTATGATTGAAGACAAATTTGACTGGTATTTAATGCCAAATATGTACTGGGTCCGGAGCAGTGTACGCTAGCTACATGGGACTAATTCTGAAGTGAACCTTCAGCGGCTGAATTATTCAGGACAAAGAGATCAGCCTCAATAACTGCTCCAGCACAAGAAGACGAATGTACAAATCGTCCTTGCAAGAATTTCAACGTCAGAGATTAATTCATCCTAACCAACGGATGAGATTAATTCACAGGAGAAACCTATAAATATAGGCTGAAACGAAAGTTTCTAACCAAGCTTTGAGTATCCAAAGTAGAGAAAAATATCCTTCGAGCATTCAAGAGCTATCTAGCAAAAGAGAAAGTGCAAACTTAACTTTACTCTCTGCTTGGACTCATGTTTCACTAAACTTCCAGTTCATAAGCTATTTATTGCTAAATCATAGAAGTTTAGTTCCTAGTTGGAGGTTAGAACTTTCTTGTAACATTTCACAAATTGTTGTAAACACTTAGGAGAACTGTTGTTCGGATCCTAAGGTGTGGATAGATAGATAGAGTACCCTTTAATCCCCGCTGGATTAATTGAGAAAAATCTAAGGACTGAGTAACTTTGAGCGGTGCTATACTCACTGTGAAAAACCTTCAATCTAGGCTTAAGTGTTGTAAAGGCTAGGTTGGCACTAAGTGTATTGGGCTTAATACTTTAGTGAAATCCATCTGAAAGAGGGTGGGACTGGACGTAGAAGGATTACACAACCTCTGAACCAGGATACACTGTGTGTTGATTTATATTTATTCAACAAGGCACACACTTAGCACTTCTCACAAAAAGATTGAAGTTTGCCAGCAGAATCCTAAGCAGTTGTCTTAACTGACCCAACTGCTTATCCTACTGTTTAATTACTTACATTCTTTGAGACTATTTTCACACAAGAGACGTGCATCAATATCACTAAAAGGCCTCTTCAAAGTTTCACACAAGATACACTTTAAGAGACGTCCAAGAGACTTTTGGATTTCGACATTCTAAAAAATTTCAGAATTTTCGGAATTTCTCGATGTTTTGAATCTTTCAAAGTTTGCAGTTTCTTGGAACTCATAATTCGAATCTTGACATCCTTTGCAGTTCATCGAAGCTTTACATTTTAGATATCTGAATGATTCCCTGTTTATCAAAGTTTTAGAAGTTTTCGATGTTCTGATGTTTTTCAAACAGCAAGTTTTCGATATTATGAGGTTTTTCGAAACTCCAAAGTTTTCGAGGTTCCAAACATTTTGAAATTCTGAAGATTTCGTTATTCTGAGGTCTGTTTTGCAGGTGGATTTCGTCATTACTCTTCAAGGCAAACTCGAAATTAAAATCTCCAGATTTGGATTTCGAGTTTTTGCCTTAGAATTTTGTTTAAATTCACCTGCTCTCGAAATTCAACATCGAGAACCTCAACCTCGAAGATTTTCCTCAAAAACTCAAAATTAGAGATTTTCTGCGACACCGCACTGTTTTGGCCATAACTTTTGACTCGGTTATCCGATTTGAGCAAACTTTTTTGTGTTGGAAAGCTAACGCAAAGACCTACATTAATTCTGGGGCTATGCCCCAGAACCCAATCTCACGCGCCCTCACTCGCAGCCTTTGAGGGTCAAAACGTTAGTTTTCCGACAAACATTGTAAATCACCGATGTCCAGGTCAAAACTTAGACAAATCTGTTCAAATTCTTTCAAAGTCAACCCTGAGATCAAATATTTTCTAAACCTAACTGTAAAGGTCCGAAAATCGTAGATAATTCAATCAACCTCACATCAACGGTCATCTTACAACAATCAACAATCAACTGTTGAAGCCTCCCCTGACTCATCAACATTATGTAATCTTCAATATGCTGAAATTCTACATGGTGAGCTCAGGGAACCGTCATGTGTGGTACTTGTTCAGATTTCTCCACACACATGGCGGGTATGACAAGTTGTGAGCAATCAAACCTTGCACATTCTGAGGGGGAGTTTCAGTTTTCTCCTCCTGGCGCCTTACATTGATAAAGCAAGGAATCTCTCAACGGATGCAACATTCTAGGGGGAGTGATCAATGTTATCCTTCCCGGTGCCTAACAATGACAAAGCATACCGAGTGCTCCAGTTGAGGGGAGTACGTACAGAGAGAAAATGAAGAAAGTAATGAGAGAACATGTCCCTATGGCTTAGTAAACCCAACTAAGCCTACCCAAGGGACAAAGCCGAGCGCAAGTGAGTGAGTGAGCAAGTGAGTGAGTGAAAATTATGAGCATTAGGAAGCAGAAGGCTCAAGTGAGAAGTAAAACAATAATCAATGATGAGTCTGCTACCTCAACTGCCTGCTATGTATTGAACATTTACTCCTAGCCACTCAAATACTCTGGACAATTCCCAAATAGGTTCAGGACTGATTTAATCAGATCCCGGGTAGAAGTCACTGCATCTTGTCCAACAGTGCATGTTGAACCCTATCCAAGACCACTCACTTGTCTCCCAACAGACAGGTGTTTAATCATATTTCACGGGGAACCGCATCTCTCATTACTATCTCCTTCCGAGGCAAGTAATACTGACTACAGTGGCCTCAGCCCCATGCCACTGAACTTTCATTGATCACGTTGTGTCTAGTTACTCACTCCCAAATGTTTTGAAATTTTCTAGGACACAGACGCACTTTTGGAGTCAGTTGCAGGTCTACATGACCCGCGAGAACTTCCATAGGGCTCATCTATTACAGATGTAGACCAATAATTGGAAGGAAGTCATGTTGTTGCAACACCAGAATCACCAACATTTTCAGGCCATTGCTTTAGAGTTTATCTCTATAGTGATGATAACGGGCGTCTTCACGACCCCGGGGGCTACATTATCTTCTTTACATTCTGCTTGTTTTTCCTGTTTTTATTTCTGCAGAATAAAAGAATAAAGGCATGACGCCCCGAGTTATCGAATCGTCATGAGGGGGAGAGTGGTCCACATGCTGTTAACTGTAAAAAAAAAATCATTCTGTGACACTTCTCTCCTCCAACACTCTCTCTACTATCTCCGCAACTCAAATGGTCAGCTACGCTCACAAGTCAACCATCTTTATGTTCCGCTGTGCCACCGACAAGTTCTCCTCTAAAGCATTCATTCCAAATAGTCAAAAAGACTACATTGTGGAGGAGACAGAGGTCAAATACTCGTGTCCTGAAGATGAATTCCATGGGCGTCTCCTATTCTCCAAAGAATATTCATTCTAGAGGCGTCACCGGACTTCATCCAAGCTGATCAAGAGCAACTTCTGGAAGGCAAGGACTACATGCAAGATACTGAAGGTCCCTCAACCCTCGACATCAAAGATCAAATTGTCAAGAAGACATCAAAGGGGAGATTGCAAGGATTTCTTCAGATAGCCTTCTTTAGAAGT